TCTCAATACTGGCAATTCAGTGCCTTTGAAAATTACACTTAGGCTCTATATTTTGAACTTAAATACCACAAAATCATAGTTTGAAATACATTACAGGCTAATACTGTTTAGGCTTGGATCATAGTGGCTAGTTCAGGAAGGATGGTTTTCTTCCAAGAATATACATATATCTTGAGGGTGCCCTTTGAACTTTCAGTTATCTACTGGGCCTGCAAAGAGGTCTCTCTAGACATGCACGCAATATGAGAAGAGGAATATGACCTCAGAAGAAAAATCATGGCATTTACACCTAACCCAGTTTTGAGAAGACTTCAGTTTCATACTGGCACATAGTTTAGTTCAAAATTATTAGTCAAACCTCTACCGTCTTAGAGTGTACTTGCAAACTCTGGAAAGGTTAGGCAGTATTTTATCATCAGTTATCACAGCTTTATGCATTTCAGCGTGCATTTTCAATACTGCTCTATTTTTAATTAAAGTAGAATCAAAAATTTATTTATTGTAAGATATTTTTCAAAAAATCTTTATTGTGTTTTAACTGTTGTGCCTGAAGATTACAGCCCCTGCAAACCGAAAAAGACTACTCTTATTCAAAGCAGTTAGGGAAGGATAATCTATATACTTACAAAGGCGGGGGGAGGGGTGAGGAAGAGGGAAAAGCAATTTCTCCTTGTATTTTTAGAAATAGTTTCTTCCTAAATAGTTTGACAGAATTCTTTGATTGTCTGGCTGCACTGTGTGCCAAAGCTGGTTGGCTGTAAAAATGATTATGCATTGAGATTGGACATAGGTATTAAATAGGATATATTTACCTTTTATTATTTATTTTGTTTTTTTATTATGGACATACCTAAGACATTCCAGACTTAAGTATGCTCTGTAAGAGTGAAAAAGGGGCACTGTTGAGAAGAATAGAAACACATCTAATTTTTACTGGTTTCTTTTTGCATGTACTATAATGTGAGGTGATTACAGTAACATTATTTTACTACTATTTTTACATACAGAAATCCTATATGTAACCCTATACATGCCCCTAAGTAACAGTACTCCCTTACATAATTTTTGTATAAAAATTACTATTCATACTTAATTTTAGGTCTTCAGAATTTCAATTCTTCTAAAATATTTTATTAAATTTTATCATTCCCGTATTCCATATGTATGATTCTGTACATCATGAAAAAGATCTTTTTATGTTACTGGAAAAAAAGACATAGCTACATAATTTAGAAAAGATGATACTGAATGCTTTAAGTTTCCCTATGAACTTAATAAAAAACAGCTGAAACGCTCCAGAGTGTTCACAGATTTCCATATCTAACTGGGATATATGTAAAAGTGACTTGGGACAAAACAATATCTGACCGGACAACGGTTACAACAAAACTGAACAAGAAGTTCCAGAAACATCTTTTACTTGCTGCAGCAGAATTAAAACCCATTTGTAGTTTATAATTTCAAGATTATTTCTCAAATATTCTTTAAGAAACACACAAACATGACAAAAGTGTCACGTAAAAAATAACATATTTTTAAAATAACTTAATGGAAAAGCATAAATACTTAAAAATCCAGTTTAAAAACTAGTTACAAATTTGCAAGAATGCATCTGAAAATTTTCATTTAAATCTTCACATTTCCCTTTCTGAAGGATCTGTTCACATTTAACTGGTTGGTTTACTCCCATTCTCGGAGATCCCGGTTTCCTAAAAGCAGCCTTGACACAGTCAACGCTGTAAACAGTACTCCGAAGATTCCTAATGAGATCTATCAAGAAATGCTGCTTTTCCTGTGGCATCACATTAGAAACACTGAAGAACTGATGCAAAAGATCCTATGGTACCTTTCAGCATAAGTGGCCATGGCATTAATAAGATAAACACTATTGTCTTAAACTGCAATATCATTTTCCTTTTTTATTCTATATATTAATTTTGTATTCTGTACACTTTGTCTGAACTTTTGCAAGAAGAACAGCACCTACCTACTGCACAAAACTAATAATCATTACTCTGCCAAATGCAATAAATACACTCTTATAAGCAGGCCACTCAGTGACAGAATTTAGTAGAGGGGGGGAATAAATCTTAGAAAAAAGTTTTCTTGAATTCTTTCAATAAATTCCTGTCTGACATTTTTCTACAAAACTATGGAAATACTAAATCCCTTTGCTTTTACACTAAGTATTAAGTCCAGCTGTGATTTCTACACACTGATTGCAAAATGTAACTACTGTACTTCTGAACAGACGGTCTCGACTCAGTGTCGATGGGAATCCTCGGAGAATACAAGCGTTGATTCTCACATGTGCAGTCACTTTGCAGACATTTTGCAAAAAAATGCACAAAATTGCTTTTGCAGAAACAAAATAAAGCAAGAAACCTACATTTCTACAATGAGTTTATAAAGACCAGAAAAAAGAACTTGAAATTCAGCATTCCTAATTCTTATAACTAGCCATGCAAACAGGCAGGCAAATATACACATTGAGATATATATATGAGACAGACATATACATACATGCATATATGCATAGATTCTTCAATAAAAATATATGTAAATATACAGGTACATATAATCTGAAAATCAACAGATACCAACCAATCCTTAGGTTGCATGAACTGTAAAGTCTGGCTCAAAATGAACATCTGGAACATTTAAATCTTAAATCCAGAGTTGATCTTCTAGCATTAGATTCCTTGGGGATTATAATGAAGGACTGACTGTGCAAACATCTGTCCTTGTCTGCTGAAGGATTTATTTCTTTATCTAAATTCAGGCAACACAACTGTGTTGTCCAAGCCCGTGACGTTAATGTTGACACTTGCTAGAACACTACACTTAACTTAGTCCAGCACCGTGAATTTGTTCTTAATATAAGATTACTCAGGATCATTATGATTACATATATAAGTTTATAGTTGGGTGTTAGTGAAATTGACATTGTTGAAGTGCTTCAATCTCCCTGAATCTATACATTGTCTCAATCTTTTACTTTTTCCTTCTTTTCTCCCTTACCTGTTCAAGAAAATTCCAGAATCTTAAGTAACAGAAGCATTGAAAGGAATCAATGAGAACATAACAGCATTCTTACTAGTGAAAAAATATTTTTTAAAATAGCATTTCCCTTGTAATATCTTAAAACTTCACTTCTAGCCAACATTTCTTATAACACTAAAAAAAAAAAAAAAGGGTGCTTTACAGTCATTTGATGTTTTTGAGCCATGGTTCTCTCTCTAAAATGTGCATGTACCCTGCAGTGACTGTGGAGGTTCTTTACCTCCTTAATTTCCACTTTGCAAGTAGCCCAAGCCTCTGCTTAAAATGTCCCACTTGGTAGCACTAGTATGGCACCTGAAGAGTAATTAGTTGTAAGAAAGGGAATTTGAATTGGTTGCTGAGAAGGAAAAAAATGTGCATGCCTAATACAGATTTTTTCTTGAGTACCTGCAACACTGTTTATTTTTGCTTAGAATGCATCACCCTTTAAATAGACCAGTGACTAAACAATCTTTTTTTTTTTTAACTTTCCAAAAAAAGATTAGAAAAAGAAAACTGGCTTGGTTTTGAGATCATACTATTTCATTTTGAGTCAGTCTTTCATATTATAGCAGCAACTATCTTGATACAAATATTGCCTTTTTTGTCTTTTTTTTTTTTCCTTAAAGCACTGTTTTGTGATAATTAGCCTTTTCTTTTTAGTTTTCACATTACTCTCCTATGGACTCCTAAGGTTTAGCCTTCTAGGAAAGAAAGTCATGAAGAAGTCTGAGAAAGAAGAATATTTTACTGAAATTACATATATAACTGCCTGTGAAGTTTATACTGTCCATGAAACTTTACATTATGATACTGTTCGTGAGATAGGGAGATCTCCTTTGGTTCCAATGACCTTGACAACTCCTTTTGAACAAAATTCATTAACTCTATATAGTTATGTAAAATGAGTAACACAAATGAAGTTTTCCTTTCTCTAGATATTAGCAGTTCCCCAGCCCTAAGAAACTGAAAAGTGCTGCTCCTGATACTGCTTCTGCCTTCTGTGCAATGAGGGAAATGGCAAGAACTTTGAGGAGGAGGGGATTTGATTTCTTTTTTAATGTCTGCCTCCTTCCAGCAAGTCCATCTGTTGTAGCACTATAATTCTGGAAGCAGGATGTGTGTGTGACCAACATGAGACACTTACTGCAAAAGTGTTTGTTGATTCAGCTCTATAAAGGGCAGGCCATTCACTATAGTATGAGTAGAAAAGAATTCCAGCTGGGGAGCTGCATGTAGATTAACACACACAGAGATAAAAAAGAATATATATATATGTATATAAACAAGAAGGGGGAAAATCAGAAAGAAATAATAGTACGGGAAAGGAATAAATGGGAATGAAGACTAAAGTAAAGAAGGAAGCTGGCATTTTTGAGTACTTCACCTTATACTCTAGTATTAGTCTCTAGTTTCATAGATCTTGTTCTCTAGCTTTCTACCTGGACAGAGAAAAGTGGGACTAAACAAATATGGGACTGGTTGGAGAGACCTTTGGAAGAAAACTCTAGCTGCTTTGAGCGCTCAACTCTTGGCATATGGAGGCAGCTGGTTTCTCCAAAAAAGCAAAAGCAGCTGCTCCTCACATAAGAATGGGTGCTAGGTCACATGGACCGAGCAGATTCTCAGGAAAGCTATCAGAGTTTCAACCAACCACAACTTTTGTAAAACTTCCTTCCCTCATTTGAATGTGGGTAAAATGTCAGAGTGAAAATAACTTTTTTTCAGAAGGAGTAATGAATTGGGATGACGTAAATCAAGCCTTGCCTAATTATTATTTTTTGATAATAACTCGTTCAGAATCTCATACAGAAAATGCTGATATACAGTATTTCATAATTTTGATCACAACATGGTGAGACAAAAAAGAAACAACAAAAAATCTCATCATAATTCCACAGAATTAAAGCAGAAATTAAACTGAATATCATAAGACACCATAATAAAAAGTGCCTTACCTGTATGGTCTGTTTACTAGTTTGAAGTCTTTGATCAGCCAAATGTAGCTGAGCTGTTAGGTTTTCATTGGCTTCTTTAAATCCTTTTCCAGAAGATACTGCT